CTCAAACATAGTTCCTCTTGTCGTAGCTGGTGACGGCGGAGCGTGGGGCAGAGTAGGCCACCTTGCCGGTGGGGTACCTGTCATCTTTGGGGGGGCAGGAGCAGCAGAGCAGGGCCCCCCCCAGCATCAGGAGCGCGGAGGCCGCCCAGCCCACGTAGAGCGAGGTGCCCAGCTCCCGCTTCTGCGCGTCAATCACCAGCGGGTTGTAGAAATCCCGGATGATCGTGTTGGCCGACCAGGAGACGGGGATGAGGGTCATGACGCCGGAGAGGAGGAAGATGACGCCGGAGACGATGGTGATCTTGGCTTTGGTGCTCTCATCCTCCACGCAGCGGGTGCACTGGGCGCCCACGATGGCCACCAGTAAACCCAGGACAGCCAAGACGATGGCCACCACCAGGAGGGCACGGGCGGCTTGCAGGTCCTGCGGCAGGGCCAGCATGGAGTCGTAGACCTTGCACTGCATCTGCCCCGTGCTCTGCACCACGCAGTTCATCCACAGCCCTTCCCAGATGATCTGGGCCGTCACGATGTTGTTGCCGATGAAGGCCGTCACCCTCCACATGGGCAATGCGCAACAGATGATGCTGCACAACCAACCCAGCACCGACAAGGCCACCCCGCCGATCTCCAATCCCATCGACATGGTGGCCGGTTCGCTGCCGCGCTCCGGGCGATGGCGGAGAAGAACCCACGGACCGAAACCGTCTCCTTCACCCTTCGCTGCTCGCAGCCCTTGGGGGATCAGCTTACACCTGGGTGCACCTGTGTTTATAAGGGCTGGCGGGGCCAGCTCAAGTGCCCGCCCGGGGTGGGGTTTCACTGCTGGACGCTCCTCTCCGCTCCTCCGTCACCGTCACCCACGTCCCACACCCTCCCCTTTGTTTGCAGAGATGGCACCGAGTTACTGGAGAAGGGCGGGAGGGAGAGAGACGCCACCTGTTACGGCCATCCCCTTGGTTTCGGGGCGATGGGTACCGGGAAACACGGCCACCGTGCTCATTCGGACCCACCGGACCCCCTTAGGGACCTGGAAATCCCTCGGCTTTGCCATTCCCCCCCAGAGGTGCCAGCGGGTCAGGGTTTGGTTTATTTCTGGAGAGTCTTATCAGTGCTCACGTTTAACCGGGGTTCGGCAAGCGCTGAGCACCTTTGTGTTGCCGTGCAAAGTGCAACCCTTTCGCCGTGCCATGATGCTTGTTGTTTTGGCACAGCTGTCCTAGGGGAGCCATGGGTGGTCACCGTGCCGGGCAGGGAACACTGGTGGGAATCCCCCAACCGGATGGTAAATATCTTTACTCATCCTGCTGATATATTTTGGCCTTGAAGGAAGCAGATAAGGCACGTAACTGCCCCGGCAGTGTCACCCCATCAACCCAAGCAGGCAGCCAGCAAAGGGAAAAAAAAAACCACAAGGCAGGTGCAGGCAGGCTGCCGGCAGTCACGCTCAGACCTGGCAGCGGCAGCCCCATGGCTGTGGGGGTGCATGTGTCTCCCCCATCAACCATCCCCCCCAACCTTGCATGCTGGTGGTGGTGCCGGTATTTCCAGGTCCCCCCCTCCCCAGGAATGTGGTTGCTGGCCCCTGCCGGACACGGGCTTGCTCCTGCCTGTTCCCTGCCTGCACCGAAATCTCCCCTACGACTTATTAACTATTCAAGAGCGCAGCGGGATGCTGGCAGCCGGCATGGCGGTGGGAGCCCTCCCTGCTCGGGCACCCGAGGTCTGCGATGGGGGGGAGCCCTGTGTCTGCCTGGCTGTACCCTGCAGCACCCTGACACCCCATAGCCAGGGGGGTGTTGGCTTCAGGTGCCCCACAGCGCTCCGAAACCCCATATCTGGCTGGGTCAGCTTCTGCTGCCCTGCAGCATCTCATAGCCAGTGGGGTCAGCCTCTGCCACCCCAGAGCACCCCGACACCCCATACCTGGCTGGATCAGCAGTTGTCACCCCACGTCACCCCAGCACCCTGTATCCATCTGGGTTGGCCTCCAGCCCCTTGCAGCACCCTGTATCTGACCTACAGCACCCTGTGACACCCCAATACCCTGTATCCAGCCAGGTTAGCCTCTGCCAACCATCTTGCCCCATTTTGGGGCATCCCCAAAATACCCCTTATCTGGCCACGTGGGCTTCTACCACCCCATGGCACCCCAAAACCTCCTGTATCTTGGCTGGGTGGGCTTCTGCTACCCCATTGTACCCTAATCACCCCACTGAGCCCCTCACAGCTGGCCAGGATTGGTGGCTGTGGGGGTACCCAGGGGTGACCCCATATGTGCTGCCGAGGGGGAGCCCATGCAAGCAGCACCCCAGGGATTTGCACCCTTGTTGTTGGGGGGTGCTGGGGGTCCTGGCCCTCGGGGGCACCCTGGGGTGCCCGTGATGCCAGTGCTGCCAGCAGGCGATGATGGGTACAGGGCCAGGCCTGCTGGGGTGCAGCTGGCGCTACACTGCCAACCCCCAAACAGAGCGGGCTCTGGGCTGGCCGAGGGCCCCCCAGGTCCGCAGGCAGGGGTGCCGGCAACATGCACCTCAGGCAGCGCGCTTCTGGTGGCCCTGGGGTGCCGGTGCGCACAGGCACACAGATGCGCACGCACACGCACAAACGCACACCCCCTCTGCCGGCAGGGACACCCGGACACGCAGCTGCACACACAGACAGACACACGCTCACAGACAGAGGCGAACAGGCACACGACGGCGCTACAGGTGCTCACACGCGCACCCCATGGCACGCACACGGCTGCAGATACACCAGCACGTGCACCCACAGACACACATGGCTGCAGGGGCTGTGGGGCAGGGGGGTTCCCCAGGCAGGGCTGTGGGGCAGGGGTAGGGGCAGAGTTATACTACAGGTGGGGGTGTGGGGCAATGGAGATACCCCAGGTAGGAGTGTGGGGCAGGGGGGGATACCCCCAGGTGGGCATGTGGGGCAGGAAAAGAGGGGGATACCCCAGGTGGGCGTATGGGGCAGTGGGGATGCCCCTGGGGTAGGGGCTGCTGGGGCAGGGATGGGGTGAGACGGGGCAGGCAAAGCACCGCAGCCCCCGACCCTGCAATCAGAGCCCCACACGCCGCGTCCCCACTTCGTCATCCCAAATTGCCCAAAGTACAGGCTGCGCGCACTGCCGTGCCGGCCCGGGGCAGCTGCTGCTACCTGACTCACGACAGAAGAAGGGGCAAATCACCGGGGTTTCGGGGTGCCGGCCACCACCGCCACACGCTTCAGGATGCATTCTTGTGGCGAGCAAACCGGCTTGCCAGTGTTTACCAAAACCAGCTGAGTGGGGCCAGCATCCCTGCGGGGGTCCTGGGAGCATCTCCATCACTTCTGCTGCTGCATCCCCCACCCTGGTGAAACCGCTCCGCTCTCCCCCTGCAGCTGGGAAGGGATGGGGAGTATCACCCAAAGCAAGTCCCCCAGGATGGGGACAAGGTGGGATGGCCGCATGGAGCCACCAGTGACACGGGGACAGGTTTGCACCCCCAGTAATGTGGTGATCCCAGATGAAAGTCAGACCCAAAGGTCAAAGGAGCATTGCCCGTTTGGTGGCCCACGCTGCGGGAAGGACTCCTGTGCTGGCAGAGGGGGACACCCACTGCAGGCATCCCCCCATCCCCACCCAGCACCCAGCACCCCCGGGGGTGAGCAGGAGGTGACAGCAGAAACCGCCCCGGGCATCGCGGGCCGCGTCCCGCTCACGTGCATCCAGCAGCCAGCACAGGTTTTGGGGTGTTCCCCCTCCCCTGCGGTCTCGGGAGTGACGGCGTGTTTCCCCCCCTGGGGGAGCTGGGCCGGGGCGGTAAGTGCTGCCTCGGCTGCTTATATTTCAGGCGTGGGGCTGCTGGCTCTGCCCCGGCCAGGGCACACAGGCAGCCCATTGTTGAAGCCCCTTCGGCGGCGGCGGAGAGCAGGTAAGGCAGCTCCAAGCATCAATGGTAGCTCTGTCTGCCGGCGGGGTGGGGATGGAGCTGCCAGCAACGCCGGCGCCCGACCGGCACATGGGGAGCTGGAGGGTGGTGGGGGGCACGGTCCAGCGGGACCTTGGAGGGGGCTGGCAGCTCGCACGAGGAATGCTGGGACGCCCGAAATCTCAGTGTGCCTGGGGCATCCCAACCCTGATGGCTTCAGATCAGCTTCTCTGGGGCTTTGCTGCAGCACCCTGCTTCCTCCGAGCATCGCCTGTGGGGGCACCCCCATTGCACCACTGGCATCCCCCTTCCTGAGCCATGGCTGTCGTCTCCCCCATCCCTTTGACAAACACCTCGGCAGCACTTGGGCATATTTTCCCTGTTCAGAGATGCTTTTTGCTCAGCAAATTGGGCAGGGCTTTTATTTTCAGAGCGACTTCAGGCCGAAGGTCCCATTTCTCGCAGCAGCACTCGCTGCCTGGCGGCTGTGTCCCTCTGGGGACCCCACAGCTCCCGGCACACCGCTCCTCTCCTGCCGAGCCGACAAGACTTTGCTTTCCCCTAGTGGGAAACAACCTGACTCTGCATATTTGAGCCCGTCGCGGGGGTTTTATGTTGGGCAAGTACTTTTTTTGGGAACATTTAGTCTCTGGGCTGCCGGTAACTAATCCCCGGCCGCTGGCAGGGAGAGGCTGCCCAGCTCCGTGCCGGCTGAGCAGAAGGGCTGGTGCTGCGCCTCGCTTGGTGGATGTGAAGCTGGAGATCCCAGTGGATCACCACTTGCCGGCAAGTTTTCCCAACCTTTTCGGGACCTCGAGGTAGCCAGGGTGGCGAGTCTGTGTGTGGGTGCTGGGGGATGAGGGGCTTTTGGCTCAGTGGCATGGGGGCTGAGCCGGTGCTGGGTGCGCACATGAGGTGGGAATGTCATGTGTGTCCTGGGTGGAGATGTCCCAAGCCTTTTTGCAGAGGGCTCGTGCCCCAAGCTCTCTGCCCGTGGGGTGTCCTCTGCCGTGGGCAAGGTCAGGGCGGCGCAGCCTCCGCCGGGCACCTAGTGTGCCTGGCTTCATGGTGACACCGGGTTTAATGCCACCTCCCTGCCCAGGATGGCCTCGCTGCCCAGCCGTGGGGCTGTGGTACGTCCCCATCCTGATGAAGCAGGGACGATTGGTGGAGCGCGTTTCCAGAGCCACGAAGGCTGGTGGCTGATGTGCCGGGATGGGAGCTCTGAAGTCACTGGCCCTGTTAGCACACAGTGGAGTAGGACAGGAGCTCAGGCCCCTCCGCCCTGCAAATCTCACTGGATTTGGGGCAGGGCACCCGCACCCAGCTGGGTGCTGGGGCAGGTGCTGCGTGGCAAAGGCTCAGGATGGGGCAAGCACCCCGTTTTGGAGTGGAGGAGCTCCCTGCTGAGCGGGTGGGCTGTGGTCCCATCACAGCGTGTCCCTGTGCCATGTCTGCTTGTAGGTGGCACCAGGACGAAGCCAGGGCTGAGGTCCTGCAAGATGCACCCAGGCATCTGAGATGGGGCTGTGGGGCTCGTGTCCATGCAATGATGGCCCCAAACGACACGTGCTGAGGTGCTTGTCAGTGCCACGGTCCTACCCATGCCGCGCCAGCACCCTCTGGCTCAGTGGGCATTGGGGTGGCGTGCTGCCCCAAGGGTTGGCTGTTGCTCCTCCGCTCCCTGCCGAGCTTGTGTCCGTCTGTCCTGCTGGCTGGCAGTGCTGGCAACACAGGGCTGGCTGTGCTGGCTGGGTGAGCGTGTCGCTGGGGGATGTGGGGAAGGGCACGGGGGCTGTTTCTGGGTGGCA